GGGATCGAACTCCTGACCTTGTGCTTTCAAGGCAGGCAGCTGAGTGAAATCACTGGCCCTACCTCACGAGCGCCAGAACATGAGTTCGATCCCTGGTACCAAAAAACAAAACAAAAAAACATTTGACATCATACTACAAGGAAAGCCATCATCATCAGCCTGGTTAGGACCAATCAAGGTATTTCCCATTTGTGAGACTGGGTATTATCCGCCACTTGCACGTTTCCTAAGATGTCTAAACTTTCAACCACTGCAGACTGTAGCTCTAGAAAATTTATTCCAGTACTGTTTCTCTACAAAGAACTTGGTCCCTAGGACTTTTAGGTTGTAACACATCTCCAAACTAATTCTCCTCCAATTACTACAAAGGGCTAGGATTCTGCAGCAGTTTATGTTTGTTCTTACTGGAAAGTGAACCCAGCGGTGCTGCACCACTTAGTTATATCCCTGGCTCTGTTTTATTTTGAGGCAGTGTGCTGCTAAGTTTTCTATACTGGCTCCAACTTGCAATCCTCCTGCTTTAGCCTCCCGAGTAGGTGGGATTATAGGCATCCACCACCATGCCTGGACAGCTGTTCTATTTTTTTTTTAAGCAAAACATTTATTAGGGCCGGAGATTTGGCTCAGTGGTTCCAAGATCCCGAGTTCAATCTCTGGTACCAAAAAAAAAAATTTTTTATTGATACATTTTATTCTTTTTATTTGTTTATTTCTTGACTTATTGGTACTGCGATTGAACTCAGGGCCTTGCGCTTACAAGACAGGAGGTGGCACCACTGAACTAAATTCCCAGCTCTATTGGTACATTTTAGATATGCATAATGATATCATCATCACAGGGAATTTGAACCTGTACGTGATTTATCTTGATTCTTCTTTTTTCCCATACCCACCTCAACCCTTCTTCCCCTCCTTAATACAAAAGCTTTGTTTCCATTTTTTCCTTCTACTTTTTTCTTGTCCCGCCTTTCCTTTCCCCCTCCCCCTCCCTTGTTCCCCTTCTCATTTGAACACTTTCTTCCCATTTCCCGATATTTAGTATACATTTTAGTCCTTATTTCCACTTTCATCTTCTCACACCAGAGAAACAGTGTGGTATTTAAACACGTGTGTCCGATTTATTTCACTTGAGAGCATGGTTTCAACATGCATCCATTTAGACAGCAGTTTGTTTGAGTAGCATTTGATTTAAAATTTTTTAGCCTCAGAATATTCAAAACTATAAGGAACTATTTTCTTTTTCTTTTTTTTTTGGTAGCAGGAATTGAACTCAGGTCCTTGCGCTTATAAGTCAGGTGGTGGAACCACTGGGCTAATCCCCAGCTGGAACTGTTTTCATTTTGTTTTTGTTTTTTTTAGACAGGGTCTCACTATGTAGTTGAGACTGACCTGGAACTCACTATGCAGCCCAGGCTGGTCTCAAACTCACAGTGATCCTCCTGCCTCAGCCTCAGGAGTGCTGGGATTACAGGCATGCGCTACCATGCCCGGCTCAGCTGGAGCTATTTTCTTAAAACAATATAAAATCTGTTGTGTGGAAGTTCAGTTGGGAACTACAACTTCCTTTTACAATAGTTTAGCATACCCGATTTGAAAAAAAATTTGAAATGCTCTAAAATTTAAAACTTCTTGAATTTTGCTACATAATGCTCCAAATGGTTTGGATTTTGTAGCCTTTTGGATTTCAGATTTTTGGATGAGGGGTGCTCAACTGGTAATCTATGCAATCACTCCAAAATCTGAGAAAAAGAAAAACAAAACAAACAAAAAAAACAACTCTAGGGCTGGGGATTTAGCTCAGGGGTTTGGTGGCCTGCCTTGCAAGTGCAAAGACCCGAGTTCAATCCCTGGTACCAAAAAAAAAAAAAAAGAAAACCCAAAAAAAACAACTCTAGAATTTGAAACACTTTCATTCCCCAGCCTTTCAAAAGGGAGATTTAGCCTGTGTAGAAAAGCAACATCTTTCGCAATCATCACTCGCTCTGGAAGCATTTCACACTCTAGCAATAAGTGTACATTTCTCCTCCAACTGACTGGCAGAATCTCACCCTACAAAGCACATAGGAAGGGGCTGGGGATTTAGCTCAGCGGTGCCTCTGCCTGCCTTTGCAAGCACGAGGTCCCGAGTTCAATCCTCAGTATCCAAAACAAAACAGAACAAAGTACATAGGATGAAGGTTTCTCACCCCAATTACAGATATTCCTCATTTAACATCCTAATGATTGTCACGACCTGTCACTCCGCTTTGGGACCTGGTCTTGCATTTTTTTTATTTGAATTTTTTTCTTTTTTTTTTTCATTAAGTTTATTGATACATTTTAGGTGTACAGTATGATGACATTCATCATCAGGAATTTGTACCTTTACATAATCTATCTTGGCTCTTATTTTTTCCCCATTCCCCTGCCCTCCCTTCACCCCCTCCACCTTTCCCTATTTACAAAGACTTTGTTTCCATTTTTTCCTTTTCTCATATTTTTTCCTGTCCCTTCTTACCTTTCCCCTGCCCCTCCCACTTCCTCCTCCCCTTCAGACCTTTCCTTCCTGTTTCACAATATCAGTTATACATCCTGATTCTTATTTACACTTTCAGTTTCTCACACCAGAGAGACAAGTCTGTATTTACACACATTTGTATCCTATTTATTTCACTCAAGAGTATGGCCTCAATGTGCATCCATTTAGCTATCAATGACTCTAGTTTCTCATTCTTTGTGGCTGAGTAGTACTCTATTTTATTTAAAAAGCCGTATCTTCTTTATCTAGTCTCCAGTTGACGGGCAATTGGGCTGTTTCCAAGTTTTAGCTATTATGAAATGTGCCGCTATAAACATGGGTAAGCATATATCACTGTGGCATGATTCTTTTAATTCTTTTGGGAAGACACCCAGGAGGGAAAAGCCAGGTCAAATGGGACCTATACCCTAGTTGTTTGAGGTATCTCCATGTTGATCACCACAGGGCTATCTGGTATTTTTGTACAGCCCTGTATACCTCGTTTATAGAGCGTCAATGTCTTTTCTGTACAGTACACCTCGTTTATACAGTACTATAATTATTTTTTTTTGTACCAGGGATTGAATTTGGATCCTTGCACTTGCAAGGCAGGCAGCAGGACCACTGAGCTAAACCCCTGGCCCCTGGTACTGTAGTTTTTGAGAACTTGTTTGGAGGTTCTAGCAGGGGAGTGCAGCCATTCGTATACCCTTGATGGAGGAAACGGCCCTCCACTAGTGGGGTTGGGGGTCGTCCTCTTCAAAGGAGGGCAAAGCTTCCAGAGAAACATACAAGGCTCGGTGAGGGAGGAAGCGGACACCCTCCTCGCCGGCCAGATCAGCTGAATCAACCAAACCAGTGGGGTGACAGATGACGCGGTCAGATCACCTCACATCGGAGGGCTGTAATTTTTGCCAATTGTACAGTACAGCACTGTGGTTTTCCGTTCTGTCACACATTACAATGCTGCATGTAAGGGTTATGCAAATAAAAGCAAAGCCATCGAGTTGGAGTTTCCTTGTTCTGAATACTATAATGCACACGCCATATACGACTCCTCATTTAGTGACCAATCCATTTAACGACCTGGCCGCTAGAACAGGGCTCAGTTATTAAACGAGGATGCTTGTCTCAAAGTGACACGGCCACCCAAAGATCAGAGTGACATGCCTGTTCGTGATGTTGAACCGCTAAGCTGTGGCAGTCACCTACACAATCACTGGTCGTGATCACATCTGACCAGCGCTGCCAAATGCAGCCGTGAGGTTGGTATTGGGCTATTCAAGTCTACAAAGCCAACGTGTGTCACAGAGCTCACCTTCGGTTGAATGGAAGCATCTGTGGAACCCTAACCCACCCCCTTCCCCAGGCTGTAACTTCTGAGTCACATTCTTCAAAATGCCTTTGGGTGGGGGAGGGGCATTTGCCTGTAATCCCAGCCCTTGGGAGGCTGAGGCAGGAGGGCTGCTGTGAGTTTAAAGCCAGCCTGGACTACATAGTGAGACTTTGTCTAAACAAATAAACAAACAAGTGAATAAAGTGCCTCTGAGATCTCTCCTCACCCACGCTATACCTGTGTCCTGGGGCTCCTGGTACACATCAGCCACTTGGTCACCTACCGGGTCCTTCCACTCCCAGTCCCCGTGGCTTTGCCTTTGGCTCCACATCAAACAACTCCTTCAAAAGGCCAGAGCCAGCTTGGACACCCCCTCGGTGGCCACAGCTCCTTCCTCTGTGGCTCCCTCTGACCAGTTTCTTACTTCATCCCCTGCCCCAGCCTCTGCCCGTTCCTTCTCAGGTTAGGGGCATGAACATCTTTCACCAGCAGCTCTACAGAGCAGCCTGGCCCCTCCGCCCCTCGGCACCGTCCTTACCAAGCACTGACCCGGGACCAGCCCAACATCTCGCCACCTGGCCCCAGGCAGTGGAGACAGAACCCATGCCTTGTGGGTCGGCACCGGGGTGAAGCAGAAGCCTTGTGCCCTGTCCCCGGCAGGTGCCAGCCCGGCCTCACCAACGTCTCCCAGCCTCGCTGATCCCACAGCCCTGGTGCTCCACAGACCACCCTGACTTCTAACCCGGGCTGCTCCTGGAGGCGGCTCTGCCCAGCCAGGCTCTGTGTCCTTCCCTCTCCTCCCACCCAGGCCTGCAAGTGGAGGTCACTGCACAAGCTGTCCAGGCACAGCCCAGGCACTCATGTGCCGTCCCCTTTTGCCACCATGTACAAGCTGAGCCCCACTGCGCGGCCTGAAACCGGTCTCTTCCTCTTTCCGCAGAAACCTGCCCCTTTTGTCATTTTGTTCCCAGGGGTCACCACCCAGTGTCCAGGACAAACCCCCACTGTCTCTCCCTCATCCCCCATCCAATCAGCCAGGGATTCAATCTCTGAGATATCTGGCAGGTTCAGACCCTGCTCATGGGCCCATGAAGGTTTTTAGCCCTGATACAGTGTAATGGTCCAGATATGGGTTGAGTGTGAACCCCAAGACTTCGTGTGTCAAAATTTAATCCTACTGTGAAGCTCAAGAAAGTGAAAACTAGCTGGCATGGCGGTATATGCCTAGAATCCCAACTGTTTGGGAAGCAAGGCAGGAGGATCGCCAAGTCCAGAGCTAGCCTGAGCTGACTTAGCGAGACCCTATCACAAAATTAAAAAGCAGGTGGGGATGCAGCTCAGTGCTCCTTGACTTTGACATCCAGTGCCATTAAAACAAACAAACCTCAAGGTGAAAGAAAACCTCATTCACCTATGGTGTTTAGAGGTAAGGCTTTGGGAGGATTAGCAAAGGTCATCAGGGTAGAGACCCCATGACTGAGTACTGACAGCTTTCTAAGAATAGGGAGAGAAGTTGGGTGCAGTGGTGCATGCCTGAAATCCCAGCTACTAGGGAGGCTGAGGCAGGAAGATCTAAGATCACAGCCAACCTGGGTAACTTAGTGAGACTCTGTCTCAAAATAAGAAGAACTGGACACGTAGCTCAGGGGTAGAGAACCCCTGGATTCAATCCCCAAACCATAAAACAGAAAAGGTGCGGGGGACCACACAGACTCCAAGACACACACACATGCACTCTCTGTCTCTTGCCATGCAGGGTGGCCTGTGCCACTTCAGAACTCAGAAGGCCATCACTGAATGCAGGCTGTAGGACCTCTGCACCTGCGAGCTATGAAACCTCTCCTCTCCATCGGGTCAACCCGCCCACCCCCATCCCTTTGTATCCAGACTACAGATGAGCGTGGTGCGGTGGCTGTTGGTGGATGCCACACCCCTTTCCATCTGCTTGCTTTTGCAGGGTCCTCACAGTTGCTCAGCCAAGTAGAGACCGTGTCCCTGCTCTGACCAAGGGACACCACCAAAGAGACACAGCTCAGCTTCCCAGGCTCAGCCGAGAGTCTTCCAGTCCCCACCTTGGGGTCCTCAGGCCTCCTTTTCCTCCTCTCTGCAGCCACGGTGGCCTCGGGTGCCCCCCAGCACCAGATGCTGTGCTCCTGGCTGGCAGAGTCTTCTGCTCCCTGCCTGTGCCCCACACTGTCCCTGATGTCTGCAAGTATCTGTCCCCACTCACTCTGTCTGGCTCACTTTGTCCCATCTTTCCAGACTCAGTTTACCCTCCATCCTGTCACTGTTCAATCACTAGTACCAAACACAGAAAAATAAAAACGAAACCCCAGGTTCCTTGTCACTTTTCCCCACCGACCACAAGCTCCTGCGGAACCAGACTCTTGTGACATCCCCCATGGCCGCACACGGCAGATGCTCAGCCCACACTGGCTAAATTGAACTAAACCACTAATCCTGCTATGAGCACATTCTCTCTCATCACTGAGCCCTGCTCCACGGGGCCTGCATCTTTGTGTCTAAGGACTCTACAGATGAACGGAGTTGGGCCAGGTCTGGCCAGGCGACCCCAGCCCTGTGGGCAGCACTCACAGGCATGGAAGGGTGTCCGGTCGGGCAGGGAGCGGGTTTTCCTCCGGATTGGTAATGACTTCTCCATCTCTTCCTTCAAGATCATCTTTCCCAAGTTGGAAGTAACCTGAGAGAGAGAGGTACACAGCAGATAGCTTTTGTCCCCTGGTCTTGGAGGATGCTTTCCCGGCCCATACCCTCTTCCTCCAGAGACAGGGCGGGTGGGAGCAGCCAGTACCTTACTGAGCTCCTCTTTCTGCCGCTCCCTGAGCGCCTTCATCTCCTCTCCAGAGTCGTCATCCTCCTCCTCTTCCTCTTCCTCTGCTCCCCTGCGAGACGCCTTCCGCTTCCGCCATTCGGTCTCTAGGAGACAGGAACGAGGGGCTGCTCAGCCACTCAGTCCTGCACTCAATGTGCCACAACCTCTTTTTAATTTATGTTGCACTTTTAAATTAAAAATTATCATTACTAGTAGGTTTTTTTAAAAATATATACTAGGGTTTGAACTTAGGACCTTGTGCTTTTATAGGCAGGCATGGTGCCACTGAGCTAAATCCCTGGCCCTAAATTAAAAATTATTTTGAGACAATGTCTTATGTTGCTCCGGTTGGCTTCTAGAGCTTTCCAGCTTCAACCTCCCAAATAGCTGGTATTACATGCGTGCTCCATTCTACCAGGCACTACAAATTTTTAAAAACAGAAAACAAAATAGGAGCCACCTATAATCCCAACACTCTGGAGGCTGAGGCAGGAGGATTGCTGTGAATTCAAGGCCAGCCTGGATGGGCTACATATAGTGAGTTCAAAGCCATGCTGAGATTCTGAACACATACCAAGACCCTGTCTCAAAAACCAAAAACAACAGGGCCCGGGATTTAGCTCAGTGGTTCTGCCACCTGCCTTGCAAGGGCAAGGACCAGAGTTCAGTCTCCAGTACAAAAACAAAACAAAAACAAAAACCAAACAAAAATAAATTAAAAAAATAAAACAGGACTAGGAGTCTAGCTCAGAGATGCAGCATGTACTTAGCATGCATGTGGTCCTGGGTTCAATCTTCAGCACCAAAAATAATAATAATAAAATAACATTTCTGTGCCTTGCTGTGCAGTGGATCAGGAAACACATACATATGAAATTCACTGGGCATAAAGGTCTTCATAT